GCATTTTCTTCCGTGATTGTTTAATTTAAGGAAACCTGCAAAGTCTTGAGATTGTTATCTCAGTCTCCCACACTCGGTCTCCAGTTTGGAGATTTCCCTGGGCTGTAACTGTGTGTCACCAGAACAGCCTCTCTGGCTCTCACCAACACACAAACATTACCTCCAAGTAAACCATAGGCAATTAACTCTACACAGGGCCTCAGGACTTAGATCCACCTCAGCTGCTGCTTAATAACATTATTAACATTATTAATAAGTTAATAACATTCCTACTTCAGGACACAGCATTTGCTCTCATAAGGTTCCTTTGTACCCAGGTTTCTGTTGTGACAGATGTGAAGGAACCTCAATCTCACCAACAATGGCTGAAAAATACCTGTGCTTCCAGATAGGCTGTCAAACAAAGCATAACCTCCCTCATCTCACCAGTGGTGGGAGCTGGCAGCCGCTGCTGAACGATCTTTGCAACAAAGAGCAACTACAAAACAGATTCTCTTCCCTCTTTTTATTTTTGGTGCTCCATGTCCCAAAAACACACTAATCACAGCATTGCAGAGCTCAGTACGACAGGTAAAAACACTAGCAACAGTACCCTGGTCTGACACCTCTAGTGCCTCTTTTGGCTGCAGCAACTGTCCCTTTTCTGAGGGAAAAGGTCAACATGGTTAAGGTGCCATGCAAACATCGAGAAAATATTGGTCAGAAATTGAGGCAGAAAGCTCGAGGTCTTTTGAAGTGTGCAGAGGAGTTGAGTGTTTTGTAGAAACAAAGCCATTTACAAAATCCATGTCTTCTTGCATATTATACAGCAAGCTGTGGCTCGCTGGGAGGTGCAAGGGAGCTTCAGCAAGGCTAGCTGTTGCACTAGGTATCAGGGAACTCTAAGATATGACAGGAAAAATATTTCCTTGTGGTTCCCAATATATAAAAAGTATAATGTGGTATCTGTACAGGGGAAAATAGAAGCTACGTTTCAGCAGTCTGGATTAATTAACAAGTTAATTAAGCCTGACATCAGCCAAATTGTTCATCTCATTCATAACTTTTCTTCAGAACTGGAATGAAAAGTAGAAATCAAAAGCTAGACATGAGATTTTAGAAACTGGAAAAACAGGTGGGAATAAAACCAATGGTACCTAAGAGACTACAATACTCTCAACTCTCGTGCATCAGCTATAATGTAAAATATACTCACCAGTGAGGATGTCAAAGAAATAATGTGCAATATACTTACTAGTATGTCAAAGAAATAAACTAACTCTGTTTGCAAGGAGAAAGGGTGTTTGGCCCCAGCCTGTGCTTAGTAGGTACACAGAAGAAAAAAACCAAACCATTATTCCTTGCTGTGGGTAAATCTGCATGTCTTGATGAAAATTAATTGTACTCACATTAAGAACATTCAAGTGTTAATTTTTTTTTCCAAAGCAAGCTTTAGCTATATTAGTGAATGGGGTTTTGGTCTTGCAACTACAAGAAAAGTGACTTAAGATCATACCAGCAGGTTTTGACAGAACACTGTATCTCTTCTGTAACAAGCACATAGATACCATATACACAAGTATATTTTTATTTACCGGAGGTGCTTTTCAGAGCTTTGTAGTACCTATGCCATTTTCTAGCCACACCAACCATTTAAAAACTGGAAGTTACTTCTCCCGGAAAAAAACCTAGGATTACATCAAAGCATTTCAGTTCCTCACAACAAAACTCTGTGCTTGGTTTCCAATACTAAAATTGTAACATCACAACTTTTTCATAAGAATTAAATGGAAAGAGAAATAAAGGGGGAAGAAAAAGCTTTAGAGTGTTAACTTTCCACGGCAGGAGGAAGCCAGCATGGGCATTGAGCTCAGCACACTCATTCCCTTCTCCCTGCTGAAAGGGACACAAAAAGAACTCTGGCTAAGCATTTATTTTTCTGCTAATGTGAAAGTTTTCTTTTAAAGAGGAAGCAGATTGAACAGAGCACGAGAAAAGAATTTGACTCTGGCTTATTTCCAAAGGGTTTTTTTTTTCCTGATGATTCACTGTTATCACTTGTATTCACATTACAACTAGCCTCAAAAAGAAATACCCAAAACCAAAACCAGTCCCCCAACACACCCAACAACAAAAAAAATACACAGCACAAAAGCAGTAAGAAATAGAATCTTTCCTACTGCTAAATTCTGCTAATAAGCTATATAAGAAGAGAATCATGTAAGATAAGAGTCCCTGTGTTCATTCACATTTGAGTAGGAACATTGCTAATCCTCTACATCTGGAACTTTAGAGTGCATCTAAAAATGGTGAACGTCCAAGGTGTAGAACAAAATGGTGGACACTGAACTTATTGTACTTTAGCTATATAATAAAGTAGAAACCATCTAAATTTCTCTCAAGTCTAAAATGTTTAAATATTCAGTATAATCTTTCCAGTAGTTCTATCTTCGAACAGGAGTTTGTTTGGATATCCACAGAGGAGACATAACTGCTAATTCTCTGAAAACATGAACAATAACAATTTTTATTTGTGAAAGAGCTCTTATCCTCAGTCCTAGTGTCAGTCAGTTGTGAAGCTTATGTAGCAATTCACAAGCACACAATTTTTACATGCATATTCAAGCTAAAAAGAGGTAAGGTGAGGCCAAAAGGAATGCTGATCGGGTTGCTTTGTTATTGTGTATGTGATTAAAAGAAAGTGAGGTGGTTGCCATAGGCTTCTGTTACACCTCGACACAACCTAGCACATAATTTCCTTCTCCATGCCTGCAGTTACATTAAGAGACAGGAAAGGATATAAAGCTAGCTTGAGTCAAAACACAAATCTGTAATTTCAGTAACATTTTATATCTACTTTCAGGAGTAGATGTAAGTTTTCCCTGTAGACATATTCCAAGGGAAATATTGTATCAGTAGGTTTCAGCACAGCTGGAGCTACACTTCAACTGTTTTTTCTAGTCCAAGTGATCAGTATAAGAACTACTGAAGTACTAAGAGACAGCTGCAATGCCTTCTTGCCCCATCTTGACCATACCATAACTTCTGGCTTATTTTTTTGCTTTCATGTAACAGAACTGTTTGCCATCCTTACAAGAGTTTGATCAATTCTAGCTGGAAGAAAGCTTGTACCAAACAGCAACAAGAACTGTTTAATATGACTGCATCTCTCTGCTCTAGACATATTTTCATAGATTCAAAATCCATAACTTCTTGTAAGTATCAGCCACAATAGGATTTCCAGTTGCCCTCTCACCCTCCATTTTCAGGATTCCTACTTCTAGCACTGATCATTACATTTTTGAGTTCAAATGTGCAATTCCCCTACCATTCCCCAGGTCCAAAGGGCTTGTGGGGTTTTTTACACCCTTTTAGGAGATGCAGGCTTATTTTTTGGAATAGTGAGACCCAGTCATGCAAGTGTGGTGCTGTCCTCTCTCTTTGGCATTTGGAGCCCATGCACTCACATGTATCTAGAACAAAGCCCAGCATTATCTGGGTGCTGATGTCTAGGACCCCATAGACTGGCCAGCCTCTATTTGACAGTTTTATCTTTTTACTCACTTAAAGGCCAAGAACATGAATGACTAGTAGGCAGTGTTTCCAAAATCTCCCCACTAGCTCACACCGTTAGCCATGCAAAAGCTGCACTCACAAAAAGGCATAAGAGAACAAACTGGATTATGCCAGCAGAGGTCAGTGGGTGACTCTCTTGCCAAAGTTTCAGATGCACAGTGTATTACAGATGGTTTCAAAGTCAGCTGAGTTCCCTCACCCTGAAACACTTCAAGTCATTCTTTAACTAGACACCACCATTTTGCCCTTTTTCATTTCAATTGCCCACCTAAGCAAATAATGATGATGCTTTGGTATGTTGCCACCTCTGTGCTTTTCTCTTCAAAATATATTTTTAGGTTGCTGGCAGACAAGATCACCTGGCTCTAAAGCTGAGTAGTGAGGAAATGTCAACTCATGCAGCCTTTTTCAATTATAAGTCAGTAGTCATTCTACCTCATATATGAGCTTCAATCTTTTGTTCTTCCTTACACGGTGATACTCTATTTCCATGCAGCTTTGGTTTTTAAAACTTTTAAACACTGGACCTCTTCCTCTCAAGTTTCCTAAATTGCTGCTCATTCACTGCACTTATAAATCATGAACTTGTTTACTATTTTTCAAGTCCACATCAACAGCACTTAAGCAGCTGTGGTAGACGGGCTTGGGGAAAGTGGTGTATTGAGACACCTCAAAATTATCACATAAAACAAACTAGCATCCTACACTACTCATAAATATGAATTTATTCTCACATCACCAACAGCGTGAGGAAAGGCACATCTAAACACAGCTTTTAGTTGAGAATTTTATCAGTACAGAGTATCTGGGACAGCTCAGTCACTCTGCTGGATCACTTCTTCCCGTTTCCTCTCACTACAGGTTACAGCTTTGTGTAACCTGCCACAGCCTCATGCAATTCCTGTCTCTAGACACAGGACACAAAAGCAGCACAAGTGTCCTCACTATCAGCATGCAATCAAGGCCCCTCAGGTAATTCTCTGCTCCAGGAAAGAGCTCCTGAGAGGCTATTTAAGAGCTTGTTTGTAAAAGAATAAATAAATAAATAAATTTAAATGGCAGACACATTACTCCAACTTGTGTCCAAAATTTTATCCTCATCCTTGTCAGCTCAGGATGTAGGCATCTCGTTTTAAAAACAGTAGAGCAAAAGCAGAAGGGTAAAGCACACAGCACACCTGCCTAAAGCCTGTATCAAGCCTGAACTAAGCACTCTGTATTTTGACCATCACTACTTAGTCACCAGGTACCTAACAATTCAATCAAGCAGCATGAATATCAGAGCAATCAGATTCAGGAACACAGGGCCAGAGATAATAAGATGTCCAAGCCCAACTGCTCCCCCAGGTATGATGGGAATGACCAAGTCCTTTACTTCACCTGAGAGTGGTATAATAGAAGCACAGCTCCAACAGGCTTTTAAAAACCAGTTCAAACACAAAAAATATTCTAAAACTGAAAATTTTTATTTTCAAAATAAAAAATCTTGTACAGAACAGTGTAGATTTGAGTAAATCTAAATACAGCAGTCTCTGTAATATAACGTAAGGGTCTGCTTTTAGCAGAGTACTTTCACACTCTAGCAATCAGAAGGCAAGCCAAGCAATTAGGAGGAAAAAAAACCCAACCACTTTTATCTGTCAGAACATGTATTTCTAAAATGAGTTCCTTCTTCACAAAATGTACCTAGAGAGAAGAGCACTCTCCACACCTCAGATTGCACAGCTATTCACACTATAAAAACAGACAAAGAGAGGACAGGAGATTTTCAATAGGAGAGATGATTTATGAAACAGAACTGCAAGTCTGAGACATAAATATCTGTTGTTTCTAAATTCCTCTCTCCTCCCCTCCCACACACACTGATGCAATTCCCAGAAAGGTATGAACTGTGGATCATTTTGTATACACACAGTGCAAATACTGTGCAAGCAGAGAAGTGTAAACTCATGTTGATTCTTCTACTGTTCAACTGTACATTATTTATAACATTACATTCTAAACCTTATACAAAGCTTACACAGTAGTTTCTGTAACAAAACTAAGCACATTTACACCCTTTAGGGACCTCTGCATGCAATTTTCATGGCACCTCCTTTTCTACAACACTGAGTACAGGAGACCCCTATGCGCTCAGCGTATCAGAATTCTTCAGCTCCATTTCTGCTGTACTGACATTTCACAAATGTCATGTGAAACAACCTTCCACAAACACAAACAGCCAGACACAGAAACATTCATTGCCTGTTTTCCTGATAACCAAATCAAACTAAACAAGTTACCACCTTTCATCCATTCAAAGGTGGCCAACACGAACCGCCACCCCTTTACTTGACCAAGCCCTGGTTTGGAGGTATCCCTCTTCCCCAGGACTGCTGCTGACTCTGCAAAGCAGTTCTGCAGCTGCAACGGAAGAGAAAAGAGAGTCCACCAAAACAGTGATTTAACACACGAAACATTCTGTTTTAAACAGTGGTCACTACACAATGTATACCAGTACATTCACACCACTGCCACCAGTAGACAATGCAAGTGCTGTGGAAGCTTTCAGCAGTGGCCTTCTCTCGTCTGAGCAAAAACACAAAGTGCCACGTCAAACAGTGTCTACTGCATTTTTTAGTTCAGAGAATCTCCCTTGAAATGGCCAGTGTGAAATTTTAAGTACTCTATAAAACTAAGTATTAGTGCTTGGAGACTGCTCAGCTGCGACTTATAGGGTTTCCTTTTTAAACTCAAGAACATGCTGTTGTTTCAGAGAATTCTACCATTCCATTTGATCATGAAGTGTCTGTATTGCAGAAGTTGGGTGCTTGGTTCTGCGGGGAAAACCTCCCCAAATTTTCAGAACATCTCTATCTTTTTGTAACCAATTTTGGAGCATAAGTAAACCAGCAGCATAGATTGTGGCATGAGTGAAACTAATGGCTTAAAGCCCCATCCCCTTTCAGGAAGAAAGAAAGAAGTTACTATTATGGAAACAAGGACTGATTTGCAAAGTTATCTAAAAAGAAAACAATGGCCTGTGGGTGAAGACCTGCATTAAACAGCTTCCCAAGTGTGATTTATACTGAAATAAATGAAAGGTTTTTATGCTATTTTGCCCAAAAGGGAAGCAGGGAAGGCACTTTGTAATCTGATTTGATTAAACAATTCACTGCAGGCAACAGTATTACGTTGGTGAAAGAGTATGTAATTTGAAGGCAGTCACAGCTTCAATCTTCCATTCCAAGTTCTTGTTTCAGACTGAAAGACAAGTAAGAACATGAGTCAGCTTGCAGCAAAACACTGAAAACTCTTTAGATCAATTAGTGGAAGCCCTGACAATGCACACTGAGGTTGAGAGCTAAAAGGCAGAGTTGGTACATCACTTGTTTCAGCTAAGAATCAGTGTATCAAAGAAATTATTGGGTAAAATCTCAGACTCTGGAGGCAACACAAAGTAATCCTGAGATTCACCTGACAAACTAGGATGTGGGCACCTTTGCCCCCCCACTTCTGAGATGCTTATCTCACTTAATTCAACCGTATCACTGACACAATGGCACACTCACCTTTTTAAGTAGGCATGGACATTGTCAAAGCCGTGGTACTTGGCCAGGTAGACCAGGACACCTGTGGCACATCGGCCATCTCGTTGTCTGCAGAAGCTACAGTTGCAGATTCCACGACATGGGGGGCACCTCCATGTCTACACAGAATAAAGACATCAAGAAGCCCTTTTAGCTGAGATGCTATGCCAGATGTAACTCACACCCACAACTTAGAAGAGTGCCCTGCTACACACCGAGTTCTGCAGTGAACATCAGCACTGCATAAAGTTGTCTAAACCAGTACAAGAGTACAAATTGCACAGTCTGCAGGGGACTAAGCTCTCCATTGATGCCTTGCACATAACCACAGGAAGCATTCCACTCGGTTTTTAACTCCTACATAACAGCCCACAGCAGCAGCACTTTGTCCACAATACTGTTCCTTTCCATAGGGCATTAAGCACTAATGCAAGGCAAAAGAGAACACTACTTCTGATGCTCAAACACAAGAATATTTTGGCTGCTGCTCTGTTCTCTTGCTTTACTCCTGCAAATAAAACTACAGAAGTAGTAAATACAACAAGTTCTACACGACACAGTTCTGTGATTCAGGCTGAATTAAGCCAGGAGTGCATGATGTACTACAGCACTGTGGGCAATTCTGTTAAAACCCCAGCTGACAATGACCAATAACCCTGGCTGTGCAAGTCAAGCACAATAAACCAGCACTGAGCACTGTCCTACCGGGTCCAGCAGTGCTGTTCTGACATCCTCCCCGTATCTGTTGCGGAGGCACGGCCCACAGAACTGGCCCCGCACTCCCACACAATCAGGGTTACGACAGTTTGTCTTGGTGTCTATGGTTTTCTGGCGACACTGGTGACAGGTGGATCCCTAGAACACAGGGAAAACAAACAAGACATTTAAGATGGCGTTTTAGTTAGGGGAAAAAAAGCATTGAACAAAATGTCTTTGGCAGCTAGCAGTGCTTATCCTGAAACAGAAAGCCACCTTTCAAGTTTGAACCAAGACTGTTTTAACACTGCATCTTCAGTGTCTGATAATCACATCCCCTGGCTGGTATCACTTAGGTATTACAGTTATTCCAGAGTGAAACCCAGCTAATTGTCTTGGTAAAGGCCATTCTACAAATTCAGGCAAAAATCACAAAGGATGCTTCAAGATCTCGGACAGATTTCTCCCAAAAATTACATCCTCTCTCTCAGTGAGAGGGAGTGTGCTCTATTTGATGCTAAAACAGAAACACGGAATAACAAAAACATTACTGCACAAAGTACACTTTTCACAAAGCTGGAATATACTTACCACAGCCCTGTTATACACTTTTTCTCTTGCAGATCCACATATATTATCCAGCTCTTCTTCTGTTATGTCCTCAACTGGGCGCACAACGTGTGGAAAAGCCATGGCACCACGGTGACCCCTCCTGGGAGTACGGGCTTCATGCTGAATAGCAAAAAACCAATACTTTTAGTGCTAGTTTCAGCAAAAACTCTACAAAGGTGAGGATCTTCATAGCACTGCTGAAGTCTCAAACACTCATCATAAATTTAAGCAAAATATAACACAACTTTGTACAGACGTATGATACGTGCATATGATATGGTTGCAGCTTTGGCACCTTTACTTGATCTGTCCCCCTCAGGGTTCAGTGATGGTATGTACTGATCTTGCTTCACTCCTGCTAGAGTGCAAGTGGAAGTGGTTTTTCAAATACAAGGAGGGGGAAATGGAGAGCACATATAAAATGCCCTTTTTTTCTTATTTTTTTTTTAATTCTTCCAAGGCCATGGCATACTGATAAACCTCATCAACTCTCTATGAATTGCTATTTTCTTGAAGGGAAACCACCCTCACAACCCAGAACATGAGAACTAGATCTTCATCATACCTCCAGGTATTCATCAGACATTTTTCTTCTTCTCACCAAGACGTATGGGTCATCTTCTTCCTCTTCTGGCACAAGAGTAGGAGGGCCTTCAATCAAGGACCTCGACCTTGTGTGAGGCCGAGAACTCCGGTCTGGGTTCCTCCTCAAGGCACATTTGGGCAATGAATGCCTTGGAAGTCGCTTTGGTCCCTGCTAATGTTTAAAAACCCCTTATGAAACAGGTGAAAACACAGATAGCTCCTGACCCTACTGAATTCCTCCCCTAAAGACGCCTTCTTCTTGTCTTTTCCAAAGATATGTCTATCTGTGTCCCAGTCAGAAAACAGGTAAGAACCTAAGCAAGCTCATCTTAGGCATTCTGCTAGTCACAGAGAAACAGTCAAAAGCAGCAGAACCCATGTCTATGAGAAGCTGTGATTTTCAGTGCTGCTCTAATCTTCACCCAAATTACAAATGCATCAGCAATGAAATTCATTACACTGCTGATTCACAACCCAAAAGTTTGGCATAATGCCAGATGTTTTTCAAGGGTCAAAACTCACAGAATATTCAGGTCTGAGCTGCCCTCCCTTATCTCCAGCCTTTATATCAACACCTATTTACACAGCACTTTGGTTTTATTGGCCTATGGAGACACTTAACCTTTATAAATTAATCTGTTCCATGGCAAATCAAAAGAGGATTACACAGTGAGGATACACATTTCAGAAAGCAACAAAATTCTAACTGGACTTTGATTTGCGCGGTTTATTGAGTTTTTATATTGAGAATCCTGTTTTGTAATGTCAGAATTTGAATCTTAGAAATCTGAATGCAAATACAGTAAGTTTGTACTCACATGACTGACAGCTGGCAACGATTTTCTTCCACCAAAGATACCAGAAACATTTTGCAACTCAGCCATTAGTTTTGCAAGCTAACGAGAGAGAGAAAAATGAAGCAGAGCCTTAAAAGGGTATTTATGTGCTATTACAGACTACTAGGGCAATTGGCTAAAAGTACAATTACTTCTAGGAAATGCAGTCATTCTTCAACTCTTTACATTTATGTCTTATTTATGTTTTAGTGACTGCAAGTAATTTGGAAATGCTCAAGCTTATTATGTCGTTAGGCTTGCAGCCTATGGATTTTCACATGCCAGTAAATACAAAGCATCAGATTTATATTTAAGGAATGCAAATTTGTCTTAATGCATTCACATAATTCCCATTACAGTGAATTTAAACAGAGGTCCCCCAAGAGTCAAAAGGGAGGGAGGGAAAGAGGCCAGTCGACAGGAAGAGAGAGTACTTGCCATTGCTTTGTTTTCCTTTATGTTTAAAGCTCTTTTTTCCAAAAACATAGGACCACTTTCTTCAGTGTCAGAGTCTGAATCTAGAGCAGGCATCGGTGTTTCAGGAACAGGTTCCGTGCCACCCTTCCTCCTCTCTGATCTTCGAAGTGGAAACTTCATGGCTACTTTCAGAGGAACAGGGCATTTCTGCCCTCTCTGATCTCTCTCACTTTCAGCACTTGTATCATTCTCATCTGAATCTGATTCCAATTTCTGTTAACAAACCAAAATGGAAGCATGTAAATCCAGAAGAGTTGCTCTGCAGTTAAACACAGTTGACATTTTGTCTACAGGTATTTCAAGAGGCTACCTGGCTGAAATCCAGACATCCAGTTCTAGTGTTCTAGTGCATTTTGGAGTGGGAGGGAAGCAGAGGGAACATGGGGATAAAAACCTCTCAGGGAAACCCACATGGTTGTGCCACACACCAGAAAAGGGAGCAAAAGTCCAGTTGCAGCAGTCTTAGCTGTCACTTACAGGTCTAATAGCAAAAGTAGTTTATGTGTATGGTATGAGAAAGAGAACTGGCTTTAAAGGGCTCGATTTTGCTACATATAATATTTGGCTGTAAAAAAAGCCAGTATGCAGTTCTCTGCACAAGGTCAAACCCAGTTTTGTAAGCTGTCAAGTACAGTCATCTCACAGTATCAATAATAAAAAATGGAAACTTCCCTCTAGAGCAAACCAATGAAATAATTATGAATAAAATCCCAGTATTTTCTAATCTTTGAATTCTTCTGCCTTGCTTATGAATTTCCGAAGAACCAATAGGTGTGATAATATAAATTTTTTAACTAAAAGTTCATTATGCAGTAGGCTTTTTCTTTTTAGACACAAGTCTTTTTTTGATCAGCAGTAGCACTGGACATCAAATGGCCATTTTTATTTGCACACGGTTTTTATTAAGCAGGTAAGTGATTCTGCTTGCACATTATGTGCAGTTATTGACTCTTTTTTTCTACATATCTATTCCAGCTTTGTCTCATTCTCTTTAATATTGTGTTTTAACTCAGACGTGATTTCTTCCAATTAGACGTTTTTCTTTTCTAGTCATTCCTCAGCATGTGCGGAAGTTATGACAAACCTGGCTTTGCCAAATGCGGTACTACTTCAGTTTCTCTTCTGAATATCAACTACTGATCTTTCTAAGCAATAGAACTGATCTTGAACTGATGTCAAGGAAAAGCAGGAAGGCAGATTTCACCACCTATCACTATTTCTCTACTGCTGAATGCACAGCATTCCTTGCTATGCTGCCAGAGTGGAGGTCTGACTGCATGTCAAGACACACAAGATCTTTTTCGGAAGTTTGCTGGAGTCCGTGGGCTAGCCTAACATTTCATATTGAGGAAACCAGAAACATTAGGATCCAACAGAGTAACATCCAGCAAGGACAGTTTTAAGAGGTATATTTCAAAATACAGTGGCAGATTTTAAAAGATCAGTATCTTGAGTGCTTTATTTTTCTTTTTGTCTCCATGTAAATTGAATTTTGGCTACTTAGACTGTTTACTAAATGAAATGATGCTTCCTTCTGAAACATTGAACTTTCAAGGTGAAGCTGGCATTATTTTCCAATTAAGAATGTGTAAGAATTTAAATATAAAACAGCAAACGAAAATCAACTGCCTTACCAATGAATCTTGAACCTCATTTTCTGAAAAGCCACAGAAAGATTCATCATCAGAGGCTTCATGAAAAATTTTTACCAATTCTTCTTTAATATCCGGCCTAACTTTGCATTTCTAAAAAAAAAAAAAAAATCCTTTAACTTAAGTTGTAAAGAAGATTATTAACATCTGTAAGTGCAGTACAAGAAAACAGCTTTTTTTATAAAGAAAAAAAAAGTTAAAGAATTTCACAAGAGGTTTCAGAACCATAGCTGCAAATTACCAGGCACATTAGGTTAGGTGACATATCAAAGGCTAGAATTAATAGCTAATCTGTTTCCACAATTACCACCTAGAAGCACAAGTAAAGAGCGAAATGAAATTACAGCATATACCACAGGTTTTGAACCACCATACAAAAACATAAGTAGAGCAAGTAGTTTTACATTATTAGCTTTACATTTTTGCAATCTTTACTAGTACTGCACACATGATCTTACTTGTTCTCGTTCTGTACTTACTGTGTTTGCAAAATTATCAGAACCAAAACTGTCACAACTGTCATCAGAGGATGAGGATGTTTCCATGGGAATCAGTTTCGTATTTCGAAAGGCTGTGAAGTTTCTCCTTCCTGAACAACCTCGGCGCTACAAAAGGACAACAGTAACACCATTAAGAAGAGACCTAATGCAGCATAGCAGCTTTTAAGAATATCTTTTTATTGAAGCTTAAGAAGTTTGAACGTTTTAGGATGTTTAGCAATCTTGACTCCAAGTCAGAAAACAAACATCAGCTTTGAAACAAATCTCAAAGTTAGGAATGACAATAGTTTTTATTCTGATACAGTTCTGATCATTGTCATGGATGAGTTTCATTCAATATCTAAGAACATTTCTTTTATGGAAACAGACAAGTGGAAATAAGCACATTAATCACGTCATTCCCCAGTCTTCATAGCCAGTGACGGAAAAAAGTGAAAGTATACGAAAAGTACCTAGAAATCTATTTCGCTTCACTTACTACTTGCAGTTTGAGACAAACACTAAATACTCTGCAGCTCTTAAGGAAGGGCCAAAGGATCCTACCCAGAGATTTAAAACAACTCTTCTAGACAAAGCAGCTTGCTGTTTTGATCATTTTGCCACGAATTTAGAAGACTTTTTTTAATGGGCATTAGGTTTTCCTTTCCCGGGAAACGCTTCTACTGGCAGCGACCCATTTTTATCCCCCGAGGCTGGCAAGGAGGCCGGGGGGCAGCACCCACACTGAAGCGCTGCCCCGTCATGAGCGCTGGCGCTTCACGGGCCCGCCGGCCGGGCCAAACAATGGGCGGACAGGACCTGAACAGCAGCTGCCCGGGTCAACCTGGAGCCTCGGTCCTCTCCTCAGCACCGCTCTGCCTGCGGCTTTTCGCTTCACAGTTCCGCCGGACGCCGAGCAGCGGCCCGGCCGGCCCCAGACACAAAAGGGATGGTTTCTGGTGCCGCCCGCCAGGGCTGAGGGTGCGCGCAGGCGGGGGCAGCGCTCCGCGGCGGGACAGCCCGCACCGGGGCCCTCAGGGCCGGAGCTCAGCCAGGTGGCCCGGGGCCCGCAGAGCCCGTCCCCTCAGGCGCGGCCCCGCCAGCGCCTCACTCGCTTCCCGCTAAAATGGAGCTGCCCGCACACACGCGGCTGGGCCCCGCGCCCGCCGACCCCTGCGCTCCTTCCCGTCCCCGCCGCGCGGGGCCGCCGCCCGCAACACCGCCCCGCGACCGGTCCTGACCCCTCAGCGAGGCGGGGGCGATGGGCGCATGGCTCCAGGCCGCTGGCTCCCCGCCGAGCGCGGCTCCCGAGACGAGTCCCCTATCCCAGTTAGGCGGGCAAGGGCACCGCCATGCACGGGGCGCCCGAGCACCGCGGCGGGGCAGGAGACCCGAGGCCGCCGGTCCGAGTGGCGCGGCTGCCCTCACGTCGCTCTCCCTGGGGTGCCCAAACTAAAGAGCCCCCACCCGGCCCCACCAGCCCTCCGCAGCGTGGCTTAGTCCGGCTTGCCCAGGTTGGCAAGACCCGGGAGGGCCACGGGAGCGGCGGCAGGCGCCACAACCTCCCCCCTGTCCGCAGCAGCAGCAGCGATCTGCAGCCTTGCTGCGGGCCCCGGGAGCGCTCACCTGCGGGCGCGGCGGGGCCATGCTGGCGGCGGCGGCGAGCGCTGGGAACTGAAGGTTCGCGCCAAAGCGGCTGGCCCGCGGGGGGCGGGGCCGGCGGCGCCTTTCCCGCGTTGCCGCCCGCGTCCTGGCAGATGCAGCGCATACCCCCGCGGGGTCGGGCACCCGGGGGGCTCGCCCTGCGGCCGCCCGCCTCTGCTGAGGAGCTCATCAGGTCTCCCGAGATGTCCCCGAAGGGGCCAGCGCGGAGCCCCCTTTTTCTTTTTCTCTTCGCGGTACAAGCTTTGTGGAGCTGCTAGGGCCTGGCCCTGTGGCGCGAAAAGCTCGCGGGCGGAACGCGGCGGGACTCGGGTGCAGAAGGGGGGCGGGGGCCGTGCCCGCTCCTGCCTAGCCGGGGTCAGCTGAGATGCCTCCGTGGTTTCTAGCTCTCCTTTTTTTTGTTTTAATTAATTTTTGTTAAGTAATTTTATGTGCCAAACCTAGGTTGGCTTCACTCTGAAATAAACCCCCTAAACCTGCCAGTTTTCCAGGGCAGTGGGGCTTCTCCAAATAAAGCCAAGGGTCTGTGTCCCGGCTGCCCGCAGCAGCGCCTGCCAGGCAGCGCGGTGCAAGTGCCGTGTGTCACAACACCCGCCCCGCAGCGCGCAGGCTGCGCTGAGTCCCACGGGGAACCGAGGGTCACTCACCAGGGCCCCAAGATCAGCGCCAGGAGTGGGACTGTGCGTGACGCCTCTGCTCCTCGGGTAACAGCAGTTCAACAGAATTTTACAAAGAAGTTGGCTGCCATGCCCTTTGCAATCACAATACTATTTGAAGACAGGCCAGAAGAAAATAGATCAGTCATTTTAAACCATTTTTGGTAACGTGTATAATGGCACATTAAATCAAGTACAGCCGTTAAACACAGCAAAATAACTGCTACGTGGTATTTGGCAGCAATAGTAACGGGAGAAGCCCTGAAGAAGCTGTATGGGATTTGTGGCCCTGGCGTTTGCTATAATCCTCTGTTTATCCTGTGGTTTGAGCAGGGCTCGATACCAGTGCAACTCTTGCTGTTCAGCGTTTTTCCAGGTGCCTCCCTGACAGCAGGCGAGTCCCCACTGCAATCAGCTGGAGGGAGGAGGCCACGGGCACGTGCAAATCTGTGCCCGTGTAAAGCAAACCAGGAATCATCTCTGAGCCAAAGCCTGTAAATAGGCTACAGCACAATAGGGTACAAGAGCCCTCACGGAGGTGTGCTATTTTCCGTGGGCATTATTCTTCCTGCACATGCTGCAATCTGTCATGTAAAAGAATCTCCATTTTAAATAAGCCCATAATTACACACTTACCTGCACTGCTGGCTTCTCAGCACACACAAAAGCAGATGAACTAAACGAGTTCTCCAGAGACCAGACCACACTCCATTCCTCTAAATCCACATTAGTGGAGGATTGCCACCCACGTGGCTTCCAAACAAGACAGCTCAGTTGGGAAGAGGGGGATGTTTTTTAAATTTTGATGTAGTTTTACTTCTTTCAGAAAAAGAAATCTACAAATACTAGTTTACTCACATGGAAGAAGAGATTCAGTTAATGAACAGTAAAAGCCCTTAACATTTTGAATCACAATTATCAGAATTTTACTGGAGAAGTAGCCAACCTTCACAGCTTTCAAGACCATCATACGAAATGTTATGGAGTACTGATGGCACTAGCTAAATCAATACTTCAGACTGCAGTTACTTGTCCATTTAATGCTTAATGCAAACAGCATTCTTTATATCTTCAAACTACATGTGTAGTCAAATGGCTTTGAAGTTAATAGGCAGACCAGAGCAGAGACTGTGGGGAATCAAGACAGGACATTTTATGAACTGTATTGTCAGGTTTTTTTTAATATGTGAAAAATAATTATTTTATTGAAAATTGTGTATATCAGCTCACATATTTTACAGATGACTGGGGAGAAGAGCACAGGAAAGGGAAAAGCGAAATGAGATGTATGTGAAGGGCAGATGCTTCCCTTCCTACAGTACCCAGCAAGGGTACCAGAAAATTAAGGTCTGTAACTCAGGAGATGGTTGTTGGGACCTGAGATACTGTGATTTCCCCTGTTTTCATCTTCAGAGCCTGCATGCCCCTGCTGTGTCCTTCAGGGCCCAGTGCCTTCAGTGGATGGCAGAACAAGCTTAACCAACCAGCTTTACCACGATGGAAAAAGCTTTTCTGTTTGTCAAGACACAGGCAGCACCACTGTCCTACATCTAGCTATTAACAGTAGCCGAAGACATGCAAAACTGAACTCAGGTGAATATAGCATTTTCAGCCACACTTAAATTAGGCTAATGTGAGTGGAAGAAAACATCCCTTCCCATTCAGTCCCCCAGTCAGGGTCCTGCATAGCCTGTCCAGTGCTACCAGCAAGCTCATCTCTCAGAGCTCACATGTCAGCAAAGATCATCTGGAGTATTTTATCAGGTGTTTTCAAGAAAATAGTCTGTTAAAGTTTGTCTGTCCTTGAAATGAGCTGTCATGGTAGCAGCCTTTGGAAGGACTAAGGGAATAGGCTGAAATTATGGAGGGACATGCAGTAGATTGAGTGTGCAACGCTTTCTGCATTTATCTGGAGGAATCAAAGTTGTTTACATGTTAAGAGCTTCAAGCAGCAGCAAGAACATGGGCCTCCAACAATAGCTCCACTGTCAGAAACAATAGATGAGACCTTTGGTCTGCTGGGACAAAGGACAAATGCTGTCCTCCGTGTCACGCCGCAGATTTCGGCTGTTGGCATTGTAGCACGGCTTTTCTCACTGGAGGCAGGAGTCCTGCTGCCCAGTCTCTGGCTCTCCTATACACTTACTATCTTAACTACACTCAACACTCTTTATGCTCCTTTTCCTTACTTTTTTTTTAAAGTTGAAGCAATATATTTTTACCTACTGTCGTGAATGAATGTTTTAGGACACTCAAAGAATCCCTGGCAAAGGTATCGGCAAAAGAATGTTTAATATAAAAGCAAAAGCATGACAAAGTTCATTGGCAAGGTTCATTCTACTACTTACTAGATGGTTAAAGCACACAGAGAAAAATTATACTGAACTCTAAAATCAATCTAAAGCTACAATCAAACAAAAATTATCTACATGGGAAAAGGGTAAGGCTGAGAAAGAGTAAGGATAAAAAAGGATAAGGGAGACCCTCCCATTGAGTCACAAGGTTCAGAATGGATTTCTTTGCCAAACTTAGCCCTACACTTGAAAAATCGTTTAGGCCTAAAAGTTTTAATGGCACTCAAACTTTATAGCACTTAATCAACAGCTTAATGTAAACAATTTGACAAAAGATTCTTACAGAATTTACCATAGCACAACAGTAACTCAGTAATAGGCCTAACTTACTTACAAATCTAATGTACTTAAGAATCCAGGAGAGCAATGTTCATAGTACATTTGCTATAGCATATTCACACTCACACACAGACCCAAAGGACTACATACAAGGTATACACATTTGAAAAATTCCCTTTGAATTCAGGAAAGTACTCACATCAGATGCCTTTGCATCTTCTCAACAGGGAAGGGTTGAGTCTTGAGGAGTGGGGGTAGCCCAGGCTCCATTGTTGGTGATCAGTGGTGGTCCCCCAAGTATGGCAAACGTGAGAATTGGCTGGCTCTGAGAGACCCTACCCAGGAGGAGGTGCTGCTCACAGCCTGCTGCGGTCCAAGGGGGCTCAAAGGACTGCTCTTTATAGGGTCACAAAAGAATTGGCTTTAGTCATAGTAATTTTCCATCCTGGCCACAATTTGGGTCAATAATTTTCTTTAAAAGTGTGATAACAAGAATGTTGTTCCACTTAGGTTGTTCTTCAGGCAAGAATAATCAGTTTTCAAGGCTGTTTGTTAAAAACAGACTCACTAGAAAGTGTAAGCTCCTGGGAGCAGGCAGTGTTTCTGATAAGCTCAAGAAGAGCTTAGCCCAGGTGGTGTTTGTCAAGGCCAAGGCTTAATGAGTATTTCTGAAATCATAGTATGGCCCAAGGGTAGGGATGCACAACCACACCTGCCTAAACCAGCATGTTTTAACATTAGTTAACATTTGTACGATGCTAGTATTTATTGTGATGAGACTTGCACAGTGACACGTTTATAGATGCAAGGCTTTAAGAGGAGAGTTTGGATTCTCATGGCTACAGAGTACCCATGGCACAATGCAATATCTTAGCTCCATTGAAAAGAATAAGATTGCAGCCACTAATGACAGTAATTAAAAATTTCTGTAAGAGCTGTCCAATCACCTCTTCATCTGAGCAAATTATAGTGTGTTATTGAAACCATTAGTGCAATAAAATGAAGCTAAAAAACATTTTGCATTAAAATAATCAGACATTGATTTATGATGTAAATTGTAAATAGGTAACCTATAACACACACTAATTGTTTTTCTCTCTCCTGTAAGGTATGTTTCCTGAAAAGATCTGATCAAGCATATCTATTTGTTCACATGTCACCCTCCAGTGGCTCACACTACTACACAAAACATAATAAGGTGTATAATCAGGTAACCTGCTATTGATTGCAATCCAGAAAGGACACACTTGTTCTTACACAGAAGCAGGAGGATAGCCACTTTTGGAGATTTAATTACAACTAGATATATCTACATGTTTGCTGGACATTAATTTTTATGGAGTACCTTTTTAATGTAAATAACAGTATGCTCTGATGGGCAGAATCAGATTTTGTAAAATAAATATAAGTTTAAATATTTAACATGTACAATCAGTTTATAGTAAGACCAACTGTACCAGCTCCATAAAATACCTCCACAATGTAATAAGTATATTTTTCCTTTTTTCTGTTTCCAAGGAGAAATAGATTTTCTCCTTTTAATTTAATAGGTTTGTATCTCCTTGTGCTTTGCTGTGATTTTTTTGTTAGTAAAGGCTGGGTGCCAATGCATCCTGCATACTGAATTGAAGGTGGTCATGTCCAATCCTATCCAATACTATGTTTCTTTGACACAAACTAGCAAGACCACAAAAATTGAAAGAATAAGAGA